GAGCTGAACTAACAAAAATGCCCTGTCCTGTCACTCGCTGCCTACCTGCAACTTGAAATAAGCTGTGGATTTTGCGCATTATATACAACAGGAAAAAAAAAAAATTTCTGTTCTTAGGCAAATTCCAATCTTCTAGGTAGTGACTGATAGTTAAGAGCTTTATTTTTTTTTATTATTATTATTCCTTTGGAGCCTTCAGATTAATAAAATACAAAGTTTGAACAGCCTGAGTAAGAAGGGAGTATCGTCAGCATAAAACGCACAGGGCAAAATAATCCTCGGCCCCAGACAGCAGTGCATGGGCAGCTGCTCCTAGACCTTACAGCAGGTTACACAGGAGTAGCTGCCACGGACAAGCTGCCTTCCACAGCCGACTTGCCAAAAAGCCCTCCACCCCTTACTCCCGAACAATTACAGGTTTCAGAAGTCCCCCCTCTAGTGTGGAGAAAGAAAATCAGCAGCCTCCTTTAAACACTCCCAGCTTTTTTAACCATTTAAGACACGCACATCTATGCTGCCTTTCTGCCCCTGCAGATACAGAGAGGCCCATCCTAGAATGGGGCATCTAAAATATCCATAGATTAACCCCTTGCCCATAGAACTTGCCCCTGCTGGAGCAGGATGCTGAACACTATTTGCTTCAGCTGAGAACATAAATCAGTGAGTGATTATCTGCCTGTTTATAAAGGCAAACACCAAGCAATGCATAGCCTGAAGCATAAGGGATTGCTTGTTTTGTCCTGTTTTATGTATCTGTGGATGTTATTTATGACAATTTTTACTGGATCAACTTTAATGGATTCAAAGTGGTTGAGGGTCAGCCAGCAGTGTGCCCTTGTTGCCAAGAAGGCCAGTGGTATCCTGGGGTGCATCAAGAGGAGTGTGGCCAGCAGGTCAAGGGAGGTTATCCTCCCCCTCTACTCTGCCCTGGTGAGACCCCACCTGGAGTACTGTGTCCAGTTCTGGGCCCCCTGGTTCAAGAAAGATGAGCAACTCCTAGAGAGAGTTCAGAGGAGAGCAACTAGGATGATAAGGGGACTGAGGCATCTCCCCTATGAGGAAAGGCAGAGAGTGTTGGGCTTGTTTAGTCTGAAGAAGAAAAGACTGAGAGCGGACCTCATCAACACTTACAAGTATCTCAAGGGTAGATGTCACAAGGACGGAGCCAGACTCTTCTCAGTGGTGCCCAGCAACAGGACAAGGGGCAATGGGCACAAACTGAAGCATAAGAAGTTTCAGTTGAATACAAGGAAGAACTTCTTGACTTTCAGGGTGACAGAGCACTGGAACAGGCTGCCCAAGGGGGTTGTGGAGTCTTCTTCTCTGGAGATATTCAAAGCCTGCCTGCACGATGTCCTGTGTGACATGCTCTAGATGAGCCTGCTTTAGCAGGAGGGTTGGACTAGATGATCTCCCGAGGTCCCTTCCAACCCTTGCTAATCTGTGATTCTGTGATTTTTTAAAAAAAAAAAAGTCTGTAGACATAGAGCAAGATTTATAAAAGCTGAAAAAATTATGTGTTGAGACAGAAGTACAAGTGTAGTTTTGAGAATGCACAACTGCCATCAGCAAATGCAATGGAAAGCAAGTTCTGAGAACATTCAGCCTAACACTGTATCCCCCTTCAAAATCCCTTTATAACTCAACATTTGTAGTTCAGGTCTTAACCTGGCATCAGAGCAGAAGAAAAAAAAAGAAAAAAAAAGCTTTCTGTTTTGGCAGGCTGGTTATAATCATCTAAATGGTTCCTTTTGTATCTTCCTTTCAAAAACACCAAGACAGATGTAAAAGAAGAAAGGTACATGGCACTCCCCTTTTGCAGTGTAGCAGTTCCTACGTTTAAGGCTGGAAAGCATTTTCTGGTGCTGTGACGCTAGAGAGGACCAAAATAAGATGCAGATATTCAGATGCTAACTTGTGCGGGAAGCGGGGGCAATCTGGAGGATGTATTTCTCAGAGGCGACTATCGAGGTTTTTGCATTTTTTTTCTTGAAAATCTTGTCTTTGGTTTGCTTTTCCTAAGACTCTAAGATGGCTAACTGGGAAACCAATTAAAGCAAGATCACTGCTTGCTTGTCTGATGTGTTTCAATTTGGTCAGCACTTTTGACCCCAGAGCTGTCACCTGCCATGGACAAAATACCATATGTAACAGGAGTAATACAGTTCTGATGTTTTGCCATCTTAAACCTGCAAGTCTAAGTGGAAAGAGACTCTGGAACAGACCCCAGGGAACTGCTCTGAAGAGAAAGATGGAGATGTAATTCTAGGCTTAACCAAAAGAAAGCAGGACCATAAAGGCAAAGATACACAAAACATGTACAGTCAGTGAGGAGGATACCTGCTAGACTACTGCTTTACGTGGACCAGGCTAACTGGACATGACGTTAACTAGGCATAGAAATTATTTTCCACAGTGTAATTAGCAAGTAGCAACAGATTTTCTAGCTTTGCAAGTTGCTTTCCTGATAAAAATGACCATTAGGTTAGCACCAATATGAGAAAGTATTTTGTCAGGTTAAAAAAAAAAGCAGAAATAGGACAAATTTTGGGAGGATATGGAATTATAAATTATCAGAACTGATGAACGGAATTTCCCATATAGCTATCAAGAAATAAAAGGAGATAATTCTAGTGAAAGGAGGCAAATTAAGACGACCTTGTTTGACAGGTATTTAGTGCCTCCATTCACAACGTTGTCCCTAAGGGCGAATTGGGCATGACCATCCAAGAGAGGATTCCCTGAAGGACACCGAGGAGCAATCGATTGCTTATGCAAGCAGCCTCCTGTCATTTGCAATTCCAAGTGCTGCTTTACTTTCTGAGGTCACTCAAACACCCCCTGTGACTGAAGTCATAACTTCAATTCATTTATTCCACATCCTGTTTACTAATTCACTGATAAGTCCCCCTCACCATGCTACCCATTCACTGCATCACATGGCTTCTTTTCTACACTAGACCAAATCAGCCCTTCTATTGATGCTGTTGTAAGCACATTGTCAAGATTTGTTCCACTTCCACACCGAAGCAAAGCGCTGGCCTTGCGGCCTGGAAGCAAGATATCACTGTAGCAACTCGATGGGCTGGCGATGCTGCATGGTTTTCCTTTTCCCCCTTACTGTACTGCGCTCCTGCCAAAAGTTAACTTTACAGGAGAGCGATCCCTTTTGAGAGGACAGGCAGGGCCACCTCTATTGTCCTGGCTCAGCACGCTCAGAGCAAAATGAGGACCAACTGCAGAAAGAGACATTTGTAACGCTTTCTCCAGAACATAAAATAAACAGAGCGAGCATGCAGCTGGCCTGGTAGCAGCAACTAAGCCTTTGCTCTTCGTTTGGCAGGAAGAGCTGCAGTGCCTGCATAGGAAGGAAATATTTTCTTTTCACCGGACCTCTCTGCCACATTTAAGAACACCAATGATAAGATACAGCAGCTGACTCGAGAAGCGGACAGGACCCATTAAGATTTTACTTTTAGAAAATAGCCAGTACACTGCCAATCCAGTATACGTGGATTTTTCTAGGTTCCCATCAGCCTTGATTATTACACCTCTAGCAATACGGAGACCAAGATCCTGAGCTGAACAAATTCAAAGAGAAATGTCTTACTAGGGAGTAGGAAACTGCAGAATTAAGCAAAATGCGTATCACAAACCAACTTCAAACACGTAAAATAAAATCACTAAATGAAGGATTTAATGTTGGGTTCCTATGATTTCTACCACACTGATTAAAAACAAAATCTGTCAGTTTCTGTGACTAAAAAAGCCACGAATCTTGTTCTCAGAAATTCATTATGTAGCATTGTACAGTAAAATACAGGGTGCTGTTATACAACCAAGCATCTGGGGAGATTAACCCTGATTAAAAAAAAAATCTCTGGGAAAAGCAGCTATTTAATAGAATGAGAATGACAGCAGAATCCAGAACTGGATTTGTTCAATTGAATCTAGTTGGATGTTAGGAAGTGTTACTTTACCAAACAACAAATCAAACAAATATTTACCTTGATGCGAAGAGATGTTGAGTACAAAGCTCTCAGTAATTTCCCACCAGAAAAGCAGAGCAGTACCTTTAGAGAGAGGGAGGACTAACACGACCTGGAAGATTCAGGAATACGTTTCTTCACAGTAATGAAGAACAGGAATTCAGGGAAGCCGTGTAGGAGGGTGTCCTGAGACATGGTGAGTACGAACAAAGGGGCAGCTGATCCCACATTGCAAGGACAGCTGCGGGCAGCAAGCGAGAGACGAGAGGGCAGGAGGAAGGTGCTGCCAAGCTAAAGCAGACTGAAAAAGCCTTTGGCCGACTTGGAGCTAAAAACTGTGTAAGGTTTCTCTTTGTATGCTGTAAAGCTATCCTCACACTACCTACAGTCACTTCAATGCTCGATCTCAACACACAGTTAAGTAATTTCTGCACTACAGCTCTGTTTCACCATTCTGAAATTCTACATAAACACTACGTAATTGAAACAGCTAACGCTCTTCCTGACAGTTTTCTTGCATTCAAATATATGTGGCCGTTCTTCCAACTATGAAGCATCATTAGTACTTGCAAAAAGTCTCCTCCTTGCACTAAATGCAATTGCTTAGCTGATATTATAAGGCATTTACTGTAACTGCTTTTGGGCACAAACAAAGCAGTCTTTTTTTTTTTTTTTTCTTCCAGTAAAGTGTCAGAACTGTCAAAACTATCCATTAGCAAAGAATTTGTCCAAGAAGAATTCTATCATATTGCTGTTATTACAGGAAAGACAAGAAAAGTAATCTCAGACAAGGACATATGACTTGGCAGACATATGAAGCAGAGATATCAGCCTAATATTCCAAGAACAAACTTAACTACTGCCAGCAAGCTGACAGCTACAGTTCATGCGCATCTGCTGCTTCCCATGAACTACAGTTTGCAGAAGTGTGAAATTAGACACTTAACAATTCTATCAAGTTAAGACATTAAAGAAAAAAACTCAGCACTCTGAAGCCATATTAAAAAAAATTTAATATGTTTTTTTCCAAGATCTAATATATAAATGCAGTGGTAATAACGTACTCTTCTTTTGTAAGCTTGGATGAAATATATTAAAGTCCACTTTTCGCAAATTACATAAATAATCATCTAAAGCAACCTAGAAAAGAAGAAAAAAGCTTAGTCCATATGGTGCACACAAATAATTGAACATTAAGTTTAAAAAGCAATACGTGAAACCAAATGAGGAACTGCAAACAGGCTTGACAGTTTGCCTGTTTTATTAAGCGGTAGCATCACATTCAAAGGATTCAAAAAAAAAAGGTAGGTTTTGCGAAGAGAAGCATTATCTTTTACTAGACCAAACAGCAAATTATAAAAATAGACAAGATTTTCCGCCCTTGCTTCAAAACGATGGTCTATGAATATACAGACATCTTGGGGGAAATGATGTCATTAAAGAAGAAGTGTTAGAAATGTTGATTAAAACTATGAGGTTGCAGAGTCAAATACACATTATGATATTCCCAAGTTTTAGGTATTACATCCTCCCAAAATAGACACATGAAGCATTAGTTAATCATGCTTAATTTGATACTCTACTCTTCACAAACGTACTAGCACAGAAATGAGTCTATCACTTAAAGAGTGCATGATATCACACTGACCGTACAGAAAAAAGCAGGATATGCCTTCACAGGAACTTTCTTACTGAAAGATCTAGCCTGAAAGTAAATGGGGTAAGATGGGAGAAAAAGAAAAACAAACATACTTATCAGGAGAATTTAACATCTCAGATTAAACATCAAGTACTATACATAATGGTTAGAGCCAACAGACTGAATTACAAGCTTCGTCCTTTTTTATTTTGACATCCTGAAACTATAATTTTCCATTACATGCAAGCCAGCACCATCCCTCACTGTATACAAAAGCAATTACACAGAAAGTATGTAATACTGGGAGAGGCCTGCTAAAATTCTTACAGGTTATGGCAACCTTACAGTTTACCTGTAATAAACCCATGTAAATTAGCATCCCTTGTCCCGACAAAGTTCCAAGTTGCAACTCATTTAATAAATACAGTTTTAACGCTTTTTTCCCCACCACCAAATATCTCTGTGCATCCCAAGAGACAGAAATGATGGAGGACCAGAAATGCATTTCTCCGAGTGCATCTTTTTGGTCCAGTGTTGCCGTCAGTCCCAGAAGTCCAGTTACGCTCCATTTACATTTACAAGACTTTGAAAGTATCTCAATGCCTCAGGGTCCTCAGTATCTACATAGGAACAGAGTCTAAACCATGGCTGAGTCAAATCTACAATTTAAACCTATGTACAACTCAGGTACATCTACCAGAGCTGAAGCAAATCTTCCTGTAATGCTTATTTATAAATACAGAATCCCTCCTTGTTTTGCCTTTTCTTACAGGTTAAAACAAACAAACCCTCTATGAATACTGATGAGAATGCATGAGTTTCCATTAGTTTTCCATTAATCTTTCCAGACAACAGAGAAAATCAGACTGAAACTTTAGGAAGGAAAAATACTGAATCTTTTCAGAAGGCAAATAATTTTAAAATTTTTGAAATGTAGTAACGTGTGTCTGTGTTTAAAAAGGAAAATACTCTTCCCTGATCTAATGCTGTGCCTTATTATTATTAAATGTGAGATGAAAGAAGTAAGTAATCTTGCTTGACCTTCTTAACCCAGAATGGGTTGCATGTCACTCAGAAAGCATGTTATCTTCCTTGGTACACTGAGCGCATAACGAGCTAGCATAATTGAGATAAACGCTAAAAGCCAAAAGAAGACCCTCTTTTAAAAAATAGGAATGGGGAAGGAGGTGCTCAAAGAAGGGGAACGTGAATGTATTTGCAGGCTTTCAAAGAGATCACTGTGGGACTGACAGAGCACTTTTCTTATATGCTTTTATTCTAATAAAACACACAATTCCTAAAGAAAACTGCAATCTTCATTACCTTATTTTGCCCTCTGCTGGTCATCAGTTGCAGTATCAAGAAGAGCTGACCACTTCAGAAACTTTTCTCCAGAGATTAAGTGCCACATTACTACAATATGCTTCATATAATATCGCTGAGGCTTAATTAAGCATTTGAGGATTATGTTTCTTCTGACTGTGAAAGGGGGCTGGTAACTGTTACCCTCCTCTTCCAAAATATGTGGTTTGTGTAACAAATGCTGAAATTGTTGAAACCTCTCTGCAGGTTTAAACTTTACCCTACCCTGTAATTGCAACTAAGACAGAGGGTAAGTGGCTGAAATGACCCTCAGGCAAAACAAGATGGTGATTTGATACAGAAGAACAGATGCATTTAAAGGCACCAGCCCAAAAGTCTTGAAACACCCAGCAAAAGCCTATTTTGTCTATTAGGGGAGAAAGCATCTTTATCCTTGCATTAACAAAGACCATCTGATTATCAAGGAGGATAATACCCTGTTATTACTGCCAGTTACTGCCAGTTCAAGTGGTTTGAACACCCTAGAGATCCTGCACTGTCGATTATTCTTCACTGATGATGGAGGCTAGAAGCAAGTATTTGGAAAGGAATGTTTTTATTTTAATTAAGATGATATAACCCATCGTCCATTTTAAAAAAAAGGTGGGGGGAGGGCATGCCAAGATCAACATTCAATTGAATAAAATGCTAATTCTGCCCAAATCTGTTTTCCTTGTGTTTATACTTTTCTGTATAGTATCCAATTACATGATCACATTGCATATTTTCCATAGGACCCTCCCAGTGCATAACATGGGCAGGGCTCTAGGAATGGAGTGGGAAGAAAGCCGGGGGTAAGGTTCTGCCTGTTCTCTTCAGAAGCTGGTTGGCATGTCAGGAGCCAGGGGACCAACGCACTAAGAATTAATCAAATTATCTGAAAGGCTCTGAAGAACTGAATTCTCTCCCTGCTTCTGTCCCAAAGTTTCCACGCAATACCAGCAACCAAGCTTTATACAGCTGGACAATAAATGCACATTGCTGTTTTCCATGCTTCCCATCCCTGATATGAGGCACTTCAGGCAAGGTACTTGGCATTTTTGTAAGCCACAATTGCAACCAAAGTCAATGGGTTTATACACTGTGCATTATGGGTTAAGGGGTGGGGAATAAAAAAAAAAAAAAGAAGAAAAATCAAAATATTTCAGCTTGAACACAGATAGTGGACAGTTTTGATCTTGCATTTTCTTTGTCTCTCTTGCCTGCTTCTAAATGGAATAAACAGTTTCCTTGGGCATAGGATAACAAAACCTGAGACATCAGGTGAAACAACATGAACAGGAATGCATTAAATGAAAATTATAAATAGCCTGTATTAAAAATGAAGCCCAAGGCTGTGTATTATTAACAAAAAATAAAAACATTAATCAACTAACTAAGCACTGACTGAACAAACCAGGGATGCCTCATTTTATCTCGAAAAAAAATGAAGGGCTCTGCTATCTCTACTGCATAAAATACTGTGATCACAGGTAACGCTGTAATTGAGGATTATATTAATGGTGTAAATGCAGAGATAAATCTTGCATTTCTTTACTTTGAAGTGGTATCTTTTCAGACTACCTTGATTGGAAGTACTGAGTGCACCACTCAAAAGTATATGCGTACATGTACTTGTAGACATAAGAAACTCCTTACAGTGCTTCTTGCAAGTTTCGTTTTCCAGATAAAGGCAGACACAGCACTGCTGATGAAACACTATTTCACTTTTGTATTATGTACCAACAAGCAGTTCAGACTGTAGCTAAAATAATAGCATAAAAGAAAAATAGGACTCTGCAGTTCTTCAGGATTCGTTATCCACTGTTCCAAGCAAATAGTCTTTCCTAATTCACTTGGGTGTGAGCCAGAAAAGAAAGAAACAGAAAGCGCCTTTCCCAAAATAGCTTTGAGCATGGCTGGTCATGCTAGGGAATGATTTCCCCCTCCCACACACGCTAACCAGCAGTTAAAGGCAACATGCTCTGCTTTCCTGGCAGCCATCCCACTGTGCTGTGAAATACCATATGCAGAAGTGCTTTCTATGGTGCTGATCCCATGCTGGCATACAGTTGCATTTATAAGTCTGCTTGAAGTTCCTCTCCCAGTAACAAGGCTTTTAGGCAGTATTTCTATGTATGCAATTGGACCTGGCTATGTGTAAACTGCCTCCTGTACATACAGATAAATATAACATTCATACAGAAGCAGTTGTAATATTTAAAGGTTTTGTGGGGTTTTGTTTTGTTTTTTTTTTTTAGTTAAACTCTCTTAAGTCAAGGTAAAATATTTTAAATTAAGTATCAGCTGTAAGTCTTCTAACAACACATGCACAATGCTTTGTGAAGATTAGCATCAATTATATTTATTTAAATAAATAAAAGGGAAGGAATCTCACATGTTCTAGATGAATATGGGCCTGGCTGGCAATGTCATAAATTACATCTCTCACATTTTTCTCTTGCTTGCCTCTTATGAAATCCTCTTGTGAAACTCCATGCTAGACATAGGAAGGAAAATCAAAAAGAGAAGAACCCTCAGTAAATACCATGCGTCCATTTTAGCTTCTCAAAAACCTGTCCCAGCAACCAAACTAATGACACAAAACTGAAACAGTGTGAATGTTTTACCACTGCCCCTCCTTTTTTGTTTCCCTTTTTTGAGAGTCACTTGGGAATAAAAATGAAGAGAACAGTTGGCACAGACTCTTCTCTGCATGAATTTGTCTCCTAAAGACTTTGTGGTCAGACAGATAACCAAGTCAGATTTTAAAGTTTTGGGAATTTAGATCAGTTTAGGTGTCTAATTTTTAAAGCCATAATCCAAGAATTGACATTAAGCAGAAGAAAGCCAGTAACAGCTAACACAGAAGCCGTTATCTTGGGATTGGCGTGCACCACCAGGCTTGCAAAAAAAACCAAACTAAAACCTCACCCTCCCAAAACAAAACAAAAAACCAAACCCACCAAAAAACCCACCCCAGCCCCCAAAAAACCAACCCCAAAGTTATTCTTTGACTATAGCAACCAATGCAAGACATAATATGGTATATTCAGAATTGCACCAGTTGCCCATTTTTCTCAACAACGCTCAGGCGTGTGAAAGCTGCATAAAGGCAGGCAGGTAGGCTTCACGGGAGACAGAGACTCCAGTAGAACTCTGCGATACTTGCCAGCAGCTGAAATGCTTACAAGATGCTCAGCCTGCACAGAAGGGATACAAGCTGTTTTTACAAGCTGTTTCACTGTAAAAACACCTTCCGTGGCAAGGAATGACTGTGAATTTTCAGACTATGTTTGAAAAGCTAAAAACCTGGAAGGCCTCTCATACCACCCAGTCCCAGAAGGGCTGAAAGCAGGGTGCAGCTCCTTTCTGCAGTCTTATAACCCTGACCTATATTAGCATCTACGTTTTTTGCAACTACCTAAATTACTAAACTTCAAATCAAAACTTTCAATTGTATTGAAATGATATTCAGAAAACACTAACGCAACTGCGTTAAGAATCACCGTAATTACATACATTTTGGTTAAGTATAAAAAGAACAGCATTAACACTTAAAAAATAAAGACTGGAGATGAAGGAGTAACAGCTGCAATGCCTCCAGATCTAGCCAGAGAAAATTAATGAAAAACTTTGAGCTTTAATCCTATTTTACCCACACTGCAAGATCTGCCAAATTCCAATGCAAATTAAGGCGTACAGTTTAAATTGGAGGTCTATACCATCTCCTACAGCCATGCATGGAATGTGTGCTTATAGCTATCAAATATGTAACAAAAAAAAAAACCCAGCCCCCAAAAAAACAAAACCACCAGCACATTTATGAAAAAGTAGTAAAGAGAAACCCAAGAAGGTTGTTTAGAAGTAAAATTTCTCATAGTGCTTCCTTTATGGGGATAGGAAAAGAAAAAAAAACCAACCACCCCTCCCAAAACCCAATCCCCAGGCCCCACTCCATATGTGTATTTCTACACATTAATGGAAAAATTTCTGAAAGCTAAAAAACTACTACATTTAATTAAAAAAAAAATAAAAAATAAAAAACTGGAAACCCTACAGTATCATGAAGGACACGCCTCTCACCTCCCAAAAGATACAAACACATGACAATGGCATATTACTAGGCCACAGCAGAAAGAGTTAAAATAAAGAAAAAAGGTGTACTGTTTCTGGCTTACTAAATTATGATCTCATATCTAGCATTTAGAGATACAGTTAGAAAGACTATACTGTTCAATTCCAGACAACTTGTTTCTCTTACCAACATACAAATGTCCATGGGAAGAAAGACCTTTTGTCTTGTACTGTGATACGGAGTTGCTCTCAAACAGGTAACTATGCCTTGTGCTTTCCCAATGTGACTGGCTGCATGGTCAGCATGGATGTCCCTCACACCTAAAATTGCAGAAATAGTATGTTTAGAATACACTGTCAGGCCTTGTGAGGGGTATAGTCTTCCCTGATGCCTATCACAGTCATATTTAAGGAAAGCTAAGTGCATTGCTCCATGATAGATCTGTCTGTGTTCATAAATTGCCTTGAGATATCATCTCAGAGGTGCAAAGCAGCAGGCAAATTCATTGATTTCCAGATTCAGAAGCAAGACGCCTCTTAGCTTGTGGCAGTTTCTGCAAAGGGTATACTTAGCGGAGCGGCACCTACTCAGATACAGTACATCAGTACACAAACTCATTTTCATTGGCATGTCCTCTCCCACGGTAACAATATTCCCCGAACTGTTTTTCCTGACAGAAAAATCATTCAAGTGAGAGATTCCTGACAAGCATTAATGCTTAGAGCATGGTTTCTAACTAGCTGCAGCTGATTCAGCAGTGTACTGAAGCCAAAGAGAACGGTCCTACGCTTCCCCCCCCCATAACCCTTATTTCTGCTACCTCCCTTGTGCTGTCATGGGCAACTAGCAAGGCAAACTGAATCAGACCACCAAAGCAATGGAAAACTAACTTTAGTTACTCCAACTGTGAAAACTGAAAGAAGAGGGAGATGAGCAGGGCAGAGCAGCACCACCGCTCTTTATGGCGTGACCATACAAGACTGGCTTAGACTTACCATAAAGCCATAATGTTTTCACAGGACTGACCCAGGATAAAACGAAAATTTAAAGGAAAATTGAAATTAGAATTCACAAAAGCTCTAAAAGAAGCAGCATTCTACAAAGAAAGAAATGAGAGACGGGAATTACAGACCAATGAGCCTTACTGACACCTGAAAACGATACTGTGCATACCAGATTCACTGCCCAAGCCTGCCTGAGCCCTGAATGGGTCTCAGAAGCCTTTGGGAAACAGTGGCTGTAGGTAGACTACACGGACTTATTTAGCAATGGCAGCAGAAAGCAGAGTGTGGCTTGGAGAAATCAATGGACATAACTTACTGATACTGACTGGGCAGCTCAGGCTTTACATATAACCAGGAATTTAAAAAAAAAAAAGCTCAAAGAATAAGAGTTAGCAGTGACTCATGCTCAACCTGGGAATATATCCCAAAAGTGAAGTTCTGAAAAGGCTTAATAAAATTATCGAGTAGTACCAGACTCCTAACCACTTAGGCAATGCATCAGAGAGCACGGTATTAATATTTTTAAATGACACTTGCTGAGAGGAAATACCAGGGCTCTGGGTGACAAGATTAACTGTCAAAATGAGCTCAACAAAAGAAGTAACCCGACATCAGGAAGAACAAAGCAGCACTACTACTGGGAGAGATACATGCAAACTGGACGCAGGTCAGGAATAAAGAAGCTAAAAAGCACAAGAAATTTAGCAAACATGACCGGTACTGAAACCAGGTCCCCCTAGTCCAAAAGACGTCTGATGGGAAACAAGAAAAGGGCTGTGTTCAATTAATTTCTCCATTTGTGGGAAAAAAACCACAGAAGTTAACTGTTCAATATGCAGTGAAGGAGACTTATGCTTAGATACTTTGTTACACTGGTATATTTAAGATAAGTTAAACATGACAATAGGGCACCTAGAAAACCCAGAGCCCTCACAAGAGATTTTCAAGAAGAGGATCATCTGACTTGTATCAGGAGTGACCCAAGCATGACTGAACTTCTTCAGGATCGAAGACATTTCTCAGAATAGAAGACACTGATATTTCTCATACTCCTATATTTCTTCAGTCAGAAGGCCAGAAAGACACTTGCAACATTTCACTGATTTCCTCCTGAGGAAGTGAACATCAGATGTTGAGAGAGGTTCCTCATTTCTTCCTAAGAAGAAACTCTTTTAACCTCAGCATTGGCCTTCCATCAGACTACTCTGATAAGCAAAAGGAAAACATTGCTACTACAATACTAAGTACTACTAAATAATAATAATTCTCTGAGTTTATACAGGAAATACTTCCATAATGCAACAAACACCTAAAAAACTCACCTTTTTCTTCACTGCAAATGAACAGTTCGTTCCCAATCTGTGACTCTTATTATTAGACATGGCACAGATACTAGCTTTTAACCAAAAGGATATCATCTTTGTTGTGTTTTTTCTAGCTATTCAATTATTGATAGTTAACCTACTTTTAGAAAGAGGAGAGGATTCGGACCCAAATTTACAGTATCACCATAGGTTGGGAAGTCAGCTGTTTCAAGACGAGAGGATTCGGACCCAAATTTACAGTATCACCAAGGCAAGTTTATAGGTTGGGAAGTCAGCTGTTTCAAGATAGCCAGTGTAGTATCACTGCAATATAGAAAAACAGCTGCAGAACAACTACAGCACTTCGTGTTCTGACAAATGGGACAATCGGAAAATATGGTGAAGAGCTGAATCTACCACACTCTAACAGGAGCTAGAAAAGAGAAAACAGTATTGAACAACAAAGAACAGAGCAGTAGGAAACCACACTTCAATGAGCTTTCCACTGAGCAGCTTCTAAGGAAAGTATGTAGTTCTAGGACAGCTGCAGTAAGATGCCAGATTTATGGTTGAGCATTCAAAAGATTTCTGAAGCTTTACCTAAGACAACTTCTACTGAAATTAAACTCCAGTGGAAAAAGAGCAGGATTTTTGAAACATCAGTAAATATTATATCTGCACTAATGAGCTATCAACAAAATCTAAAAAGGGGAAAATGCCTACCCAGCATTTCCAAGGTGAGGTACAAGAGAGCACTCTGAGTGTTCTCCGCATACGTTTCAAGCTCCTGGATGTTGCAGTATGCTCTATCATCCAAGTTCTTCTCCTGTAATGTGAACACAGAACTTCAGTAAAATGTAAATATAACTGTTATTTGTGCAAGTTTATTACTACAGTCAGGTCAGCCTAATCCACTATTAGAAAAAAAAAGGACAAAATTAAGACACAGAAAGAGAGTATACACTCAGATAGAAGTAGTCATTAAAGCTTAGAGTCTAACAGAACCAAATAACTACATGCAACTGCAGCCAAGTCTGGTTACTGGAGCAAATGAATTCTCCGTGAAAAAAGATACAGCCAAAACAAATCATCATATGGTATTCTTACACAATGGGGTTGACAATTTTAATACTTAGTTTGCATCCGAAGCACAGAGAAATTTAGATAAATAGGAATGTATTTTTTAAAACATGCACAAAAATCAATCCATCAAATACACACGTGAGTTTCAAAGTCAGATGCAAATACCCCCAAAAATATAACATCCTCCAGCATTCATTCTTCCTACCCTAGGGGCTTTTGTGGTTAAAATGTACCAGTCTGAAAAAAACTCCGAAGTCTCCGACACTCTGCAAGTAACTGACCATCAATTTTCTCAAGGTATAACTTCATGAGACACTAACTTCAGCAGCAAAGCTAGCTTAAGAAATTCCTGTCCTCAGTTACTCATTCTTGCTCTTGTGTCAGAGTTGGTAGCATCATCACTGTACCAGTGAAATTCTTTCTCTTGGGTTTCCCAGGAAAAGGGTGGTTATTTTAAAATTAAAGTGATTTGAATGCTCCAATTTACAACACCGCTTAGAAAAAACTTCACAGACACAATAAGGAGAAGCAGCTAAGCGAGGCAAAGAGGTTCAGACAGGTAATTTAATTTTTGAGATTTTATATCCATGACTCACCACAAGAGAAGGCTATTTAGGGGGCAAAATTGACACGGTAAGAAAAGAGGAGAGGAGGAATAAGATTATGCCAATGATGCAGATTTATGCAACTTTTTGCAATACACAAGATGTCCTTTCTCTTGAGGCAGGATTGGAATGGCACAAAAAGAGAATACGTATGGGTTTCCCTTCTTGCACATCTTCATTTCCATTTCTATTAAAAATGTGGCTTTCCAGAATTCCTAACAGTTGCATATGGAGACCTTACTACTTAATCCTATAGGACAAAACTTCTCTCACTTCCTTACAGAAAGGAACCAAAGCATAACTCCCAGTGGATTACCTCTAGGGGTAACCACTTCAAATCAAGAACAGAGACCAGCAACATGAGCACAGATACACTGGTTATCAGAGCAGGGAACAAGAAAGATGTCAACCCACAAACTACACCTATTTTAAAGCAAAACTAAACAAGGGATTCTATTAGCCATTTTGGCCAGAAAGAGCAGAAATTACGAGTGGGGGCATCAAGAGAGAATTAGAAGGAAATACAGCAGTAACATTCTTGAAGAGAAATACTACTGTCTGGAAAAGATCAATTACTTAAGCTTTTGTTTTACACACAAACACATAAAATTAAGGAGAAAAAACCTACATACAACTAAAACCAGACCTTGAATGGTAAATACTTACTCTTTCATCAATGATCTTCATAAACCACATTTTAGTCAAGTTATGCCTCTTGACAGCCTGAAAATTATCAAATAAAAGATCCACGTTAATGTACACGAAGTGATGGTAGTAATGCATTCTGAAGGCTGAAGTATATTTTAGATAAGACTTCTTACAAGGATTGTATTCGCTGGGTTAAGTCAAAGTGGCATGTCAGTGAAAAATCATAGAATCGTGATTGGCTTCTTCAAATACAAAAACTTTCAACTGGCATTTGTTACAAGTTGCTGCACAGAGAAAATGAGATCTTGGCCATCAAGCCCATTAACTAAAAGCATTTCTTTAAAAGTATTTTTGAAACTAATTTATTTTTTCATTAATTCATCCGTTCCCACAAAACGTTTGCAGATAACTACGTTTACTCTCCGAAGAAAACAGTTTTCTCCAAGTCAAGCAATAATAAGATTTCCCCTGTAAATTTTCAAGCGTCACTACAACATACCAATATGTACTGTAAAGATAGCATACTAACAAAGTAATATAATTAATATTATGGTTTTGTTTAAAAAAATATCCTATCCCACAGCATCTCATATTCACACATTCTTCTTTTGGCTCTTATGTTGTATTTGACTTCCTTCCTGTACCACTTCATTCCATCAGCTTACCTTCAATCCTCTTACACACACTGAATTTTGCAGACCACACGGTCAGAAAGGCTACAGTCACACATAAATATTTATGAACAGAACTTACGGAGCACACTTCTTGCAATCTTAGCCTTTATAGCTCACTTTCTACTTCTTTTCATCCATTATATTTGTAAATATTTTTTCAAGGTTTGACAAGACTAGATCTTGTTGTTGATTCAACAAAACCTGCTTGAGGAAGTACTCAGTAGGTGAAAAGGTAAATTTTAAAGTTAACAACTGCAAAGGTCAGTTTTGCTTCTCACTTGGTTGTCTTGAGTATCATTTTGTAAATGAAATCCTTGAAATAGTCACAGGTCAAGACTTAAAGCACCAAACTGAGTTCTGCTGAATTACCCAATTTGTACATTACATCCATTTTAAGCTACCTTCATTCAAACACACAGGTCCTAATTTTTCAGAAGTTTTGAAAATTGGCTTCTTCCACAAAAATGGAAGATTCAGCCTCACTTTTCCTGTGTTCAAAATGGACATATAAGTAAGAACAAGTATCATACAGTTGCTGTTTAAGTTTATATTGAAGTCACCGGGAGTTGAGCTAGTAATAATTCTAGAAATACTATCAAAGACTATTTGTATAGTTTACTAGTGCATAAACCCCTTGGAATCCAAATGTGAGTATTGTGGGATATACAAAACTTCAGGTATACATTTAACATGATAAATTAGTATTTCTTTTGGGAAATCAAAATTGTCTTTATAAAAAGTCAACAGCAAGAAAGGAATACATGTAAAATATGCTGTGCAAAAGACATGCTAATTCTATTAACAGGTTTGCAACACTTGTGAGTTCAGGTGTGTTTCTAAATCCTTCTTTCTAAGAATTGCAATGACATTCTTGAACATTTGTGAAGCTGTGCTCTTCAAATAGGTCATTCTTGGGACATTTGCTGAAATGTAGAAATAGAAATCACACCTTGAGCGCAAAGGTCACCAGGTCAGGTTGGATTGTTAGTTCCCTCCAGCACTCTACAGTGTTCAGAGCTATCAGAACTCCCAGAAATACTTTCTGAATTATTTTTCAACATCTTATTTCACAACCAGTTCTGTCTGGATTGTCTTATATTGGTTTTCCTTCAGAGAAATCATACACAAGGTGAAATGTTACCACAGAGACAGGCTAATTCTTTCTTCCACTTCAAAAATCAATTTTCTCTTTTGTGAGAAAGGAGTATGACTGGCAGTCTTAGCTGTTTGAAAGGGCTGCAATTGGTATCTCCGTATCTGAATGATTTACACCTGACTGTTGTGCTGGTTTGGACTGGGACAGAATTAGTTTTCTTCACCGTAGCTGGCATGGGGCTATGTTTTGGATTTGTGCTGAAAACAGTGTTGATAACACAGGGATGTTTTCGTTATTGCTGAGCAGTGCTTACACAGCATCAAGGCCTTTTCTTCTCACACCACCCCACTATCGAGTAGGCTGGGGGTGTACAAGAAGTTGGGAGGGGACACAGCCGCGACAGCTGACCCCAACTGACCAAAGGGATATCCCACACCCTATGACATCGTGCTCAGAAATAAAACTAGGGGGGGGGGAGGTTGGCAGTGGGGGTCTTCTGCCCAGGGACTAACAGGCATCAGTTGGTTGGTGGTGAGCAATTGTTTTCATTTGCCTCACTTGTCTGTCTTGTGTTTTATTTTTCTCTCTGCTATTTTTTCTTATTGTCCTTGCAATTTTTATTATTTCTTTTTAATTATTAAACTATTTTTATCTCAACTCACCAGATTCTCTCCCCATTGCCACTGGGGGTGGCTGTGTGGTGCTTAGTTGCCAGCTGGGGTTAAATCATGACAATCTTTTTGAGTTCTTTTGTAAGTTACTCTTCTGCTAATAAAAGTTTCCACCCCACACCGATATACACACAAGCAGCCTCAAACTAAAAGTGCTGCAAAGAATATATATACAATCATACCTAAAATTAACCTGTACCTAGCCCCACTCAATCAGACAATTAAATGACATGGGATCTTCAGAAACAAAAATAAGCTACACTAAAGCAAGTTCCTCCTTGGAAAGGAGACAAAAGCATTTTGGGAGAAAACTGTCTTGTTCCTGGGAAGTTTGCCATATGCTGGAAGAGAGACAGAAAGAAGGAAATAAAAAGCAAAGGCACAGACAGATTGACATGCAAAACGACCAATTCTGCATCTTAATGTCTGCATTAAAATATCACCCTAGGTGCATCTTCAACTCCCATAATCCCATAAAAAGGCTCACAACATTTGCCAGCCTTCATTCTAACTCTACAAATGCTTTATTGTGGCTAAGGCACACACTTTATCCAAGCTGGAGACACCTATGAATAGCTCTGGTCCTCCTAAAAGTGAATGTAACACGTTTCTCTTATTTTACTTCTTGGCTTTACCTATGTTTTGTCTTAGTTAAACAAGCTGTTTAAATTGTTTAAATTCCAATTTTAATCTAAACATGAGTCTTGATAGACAGGAACAAATGCTCACTTATGGCTTATTTCACATTTCAAGGAGGAAGAGTCAGGGAAAGGCCACAGTTTCAGTACTTCCAAAAGTCACTGAAAGAGGATTTGGAAAGGACTCATTTATGTGGTCTCAGAGGTGCAGCAGAGCAGATGTGAAGCCAAGATGGCAACAAGTGAAATGCTTGAATCCCACAGGAACTGCATTGTTCTAACCCAGGGTTTCAATGAGTGTCCTGCTTTTCCTAGGATTTTAACAGGACTCCACATTTCACTGCCTGTTTTTCAGCAGGTCCATAAACCTAACTACCTATGGGATCTGTGTTAATTATACTCAGCTACTGAGATCTAGATGAACCGCAGCTTTTCCTGGCCAGGAGCTCAGAGATCTTTAGTTTAAATGCAAGTTCTGATCTTAGAGAGTAGAGGCCTTACAGTAGCTGCTCTTTTGGAAGGTTCTGCTGTGGCCCATGGCCCTAAGATGACGTTAGCAATGTATGGAATTTCCATCACCAAAAAAATTCAAACTCAATGCGACCCTGACAACCTGATCTGACTTTGACATTAGACCTTCTTTGAGTGGCAAGTTGGACTAGGTGACAGCCAGAGATCCCTACCAACTAAATTATCCTGTGGTTCCACATGAGCATCAAGCGGAGATCCATTTACACCACCTTCAGACCTTCAATCATCCATCAAACATATCTATAACAGTCCTAAGAAGAAACAAAAAATTTTGCAAGAAAGCCTCTGTTTCTTTGGCCATGCCCAGCAGAGGAACAGATCTGTAGGTGTACTTTATGTGTGATGTTCTAGTGCTTGCAGAACTCGGGCATCCTGGTAAAAATAAACTGGTAAGTTCACAAGTACATTCTCTGTTACTTAATGCACTGTGAAGTTCACAAGTTCGTCCCCTGTTACTCAATGCACACAAAAGGATCTCTGCAAAATATAATACACAAACAGAAGTCATCAAGCAACTCCTGATGCGAGGAGACTGTATTAAGATTCTTCCTGTAATGTAGTGACTAGGTATGAAGGTCTTGGGCTTTTCCTTGTACCCTATTTGCTAGTTCAACCTCTGTGCTTAGTCTCCTGTCTTTTTGTACAGTTTAATCTCTTCAGTCAGGACTAGCACTGGCTCAGGAAAATATACTTATGCACTTCACCTACTATCAACTTACAGTTTACCACTATTTACTCTGTCCTTCATCTAAACAGAAGACAAAAAGGAGATGGTTCACAGAAGTCTGACCCTCCAACTGAGTCCTACCTAAATATCCTCCTCCTCCTCCTCCTCCAACTCTGCTCTTTGACTGTAAGTAACTTAAAACATCACACACAGACACAAACACAATTTACATTACCTGGCTTATATAAAATAATGCTGTTAACTATGCAACACAGCACACATAAAACAATGACATTATTTCCCACAGTAGTATTTTACTTAAGTGAATTTTAGGACAATAAAGGTATATTTTACCCTCCACAGCTCTGTAGCAACTGGCTGATGTGGTGGGTTATCGCAGTATATATTTTCCACAGCCTCCCTCCAGAACTGCATTCGCATCAAACCTATAGTCTTCTGAGTTATGGAATCTTTAATCTGGAAAGAATAAATCTGGAGTGAAATTCACAATGTCTTTAAGGCACTTGGTCTATCTACACTGAAAAGACAGACAGGACATAGCCAAACTCAGTAGGGAAGTGCTCAGTTCTGAATTTATGTTTATTCCTCGCAAAGCATACAAACATTACAAAGTATAAAAAAAAAATCTTCACCACAACCTGACTTTGAAACCCATGGAGATTAAGTCCTGTGCAACCCTCGCCTTAGCTTTCTTCCCAGAAGGAAAAGCAGCAGTGGTAACAGCAGCGAGGGAGGGCAGCAGCACAGGTTGCCAGAAGCACAGTCCACAGAAGCTGATCTGGGATTTTACTTGGTCAGCAGATTTCCTGGATCGCTCCTTTCTGGCAAGCATTACCAACTTCCCTGGTTGCATTGGCAGTTTCTGGCCACCTAGCAAAGAGGAGAGACTGCAGTACTCCCCTCCCACACCTCTCTAATTACAAACTTCCCTCCTGGCAGCCTTTCCATCACCCAGCCCTTCCACCACCCAGCTTCTGCCAACAAAGATCTGGGACTGATTAAATCATCCACATTTTTGACAGACCTTCTACAGATAGGATTTAGCTGCACTTTACCAATTCAGTCACTGCATTTGAAGCCAGGACATAGATGCAATCACATAACAGTATCAAGGACCACAGCCTGTTTGTTACAATTTAATTTTAAAATGCACAAAGAGGAAAGTCAGAAAAACTATATACATAAACAAAATAAACTGGGGGAGGCTGGCTACTTTCCAAGGGCCATTCAAAACTAGAGGTTTGTACTGCACCATTTATTCATTGCCCCTTATAGTACAAGAAGTTAATCGTGGCAATAACACCACCTACTAGTCTAATTTAGAATATTGAAACTGTTATTTTACATTTCCAGAGTTCACAAATATATTTTAATACCTGCCTGAGCCAGTTCCACATTGAAGGCTCTCAAGGCAAAAGCAGACGTTCGAGATTCCGCAGGCAACAGCAGAGAACACAGAAACCCTTCATAGTCACGCTTTCTATAAAAAGATGAAAAAAAAATTATTATTTATAACTCTATGTAAATTGGGTGTGCTATTGCTTAGCACTGAACTCCTAAAATAGTAGCAGTAAGTTACAGTTCAGAACTCTGACTTTGCAAAAGTGGCAGCTTTTAAGTTTATTTTAAAATAAGACGAACTCCAAGAGAGAGGGGATCCTATATGAACTCCCAGTGCACCTCTCAAATCCAGATCTCAAGATATTTCACTAGAGGCATGGAATAAAGGCTGTGGCAGATCTGCAAATAGAATCCAGATTGTCCAACTTCCAGACTTTTGTTCCAAACATGAAACCATAATTCTTTAAAAGATTGTGCCTTGGAGCTTGGCAGAAAAGCACTTGCTTAACCAGTAAGTTTTTGTTTATTGGCAACTATATTCAAAGCATAAAAATTCTGGGTCTTAGCAGTTTCAGTGCAGGTAACTTGCTGCCAATCTAGAGTGATATGCCTTTGTTTGGCCACTTGGGTGTGCCATTAAATTAAGAAAAAATCAGAGTGCAGAGAATCATAAATTGCAAAATTGTACATAACCGTAGCTAAGAAAAACATTTGGTGACCTCTGAAAAGCTAAACTGCTTGTTTTGAACAACATTTTTGTGTACTTTCTGATAAGCACTGTAACCCGATTCTTCATTAGAACAAGACCAGCAACTCCAGGTTTCACGTGGAGAAGCAGGTGTCAAGGAAAACACACTTACTCATTTTCATGAGGTCTGCTGTTCTTCCATGTACTCATACTTCTTTTGAATGTGAGCTTAAAATAGCAAAACCAAACTGAGGGTTATTGGGGTTCCTACTTTTAGCATCAAACAAAAAGGAAGTGAGACTTAACAGAGGTTCTTACCCCTACAATACACAGCAACTGATAACTGGCAAATGGTTAGAGTTTTCACAACAGCTGTGAAACTTGTTTTAGAGCTTGATGCAAATCCAGAAGCATCGACAAAAAAATTCCATTTGTGAATTTTAGCAGGCTTTAAAGGTCACCCTCATGTTAAAGAACAGATGCATCAAACCTCCTTCAATTAAGACACCTTCTGAAAAGTATTAACAGCTCAAAACCTAGTATTTTTTTCAAGGCTGACTGTAGTAGTACCCAGTATTGCCCACTCTGGACAGGTTTTCAGCCACATTTTCCCAGTTTCAGTTATGCAGCTTGCCTGGGTTGTTCACACAACACAGAACTACCTCTTTCTTCAAGAAGGGAAACAAAGAAAACACATTTCACAAAGTAAACAGCAGCACAATAGAGAAATTTGTCTTTCATCTAGTAATGGTGTTGGCATGTTGGGAGTTTTCTTTCAATTATTCTAAGCTTAAAAATTAAATTTAGCAAAAAAATAACTAAGGAAAAATCAGAAAGAAATGTGAATTTTATGCTGACAGTGCACCCCTGGGAGAAGTTCAGTCTGGTATTGAGTGTTTTTCATAGTTTCCCTCCCAAGTAAGTATACGCTTACATACGAACCCCCAGACGCAAGAAAAGTTGGTTATGACCATTACTGGACTTCCAGTATAATGAAAAATATAAAGTCTTAAAAATAATTTCTTCCACATTACAAAACTCCATCAAGTCACAAGCTTGTCTTCCAGAGCAGACATCACAAACAGCAAGAGACAGAAAACGTACCTACTAGGGAAACACATTTTTAACCAAATAGCTTAAAGCTACTTGTAAAAGACTTATTTAAGATAAAAAGGAAAATCCAAGAGAAAGGACACCTTGCATATTGCAAAAAGTTTCACAAATCTGCATCATTAAAGCATAACACAATTGTTCTTCTGAACGCATGGAAAACTCAAATTCAGGACTGGGGAGCTGCTGATGCTTGCATTGCCTCAAGTGTTTTGTTTCTGTTTGAATAGTAACTCCTTCCTCTTATTTTTTATAAGTTCTGATTTCCATGCAATATACAAGCTACTGTGAACAGCAGCTTCAACTAAATGATGCCAAAAGCATAACCACCTTTCATTTTATTGTTTTGAATGCTTGTGTAATTTTATAAGTAGTCCTCTTAATGGTTTAACAAAAACAACAAAAAAGTTTAAATTAAACCATCTCAGCTTCTGTGCCTTGGAATCTATTTTAACTATTTAACTATTCTGTTCACAGTTGTTTGTTACCGAAAACATTTTACCTGTATACATTAGCTCTACCTGTACATTAACTGTACATGCAGCCTCTGATCTCCTGAGTAACTGGTAAACAAATCCTGGGTAATCAGGAAAACAAACCTGTAATCTGAAGTTTTATCAAGGAAAATACAACCTGGCTAAGCATTCTGATACATCTCTAAAGGTCTGCTGCTTGGTGCTGCACGGAAAATTTAAGATTGTCACATTTCTTTCCATTAGTTTTCCTACCTCAGATATTACAGCTGACATACTTTCACATCTTTTCCAAGCATCAGTTTGGAGAAGATACCTTGTTCCACTCTTTCTATACATGCTTGGAAGCCTTCTCCCTGTTCTTGTCAACCATCTAGGACAGCTGTATCCAAATACAAATTATTTAAGTCTTTACAAAGAGACTTGTTTAATTTTTTACTTCATACCTCTGAACTCTTGCGGACTAGAAAGCCGCTACGGGGCCTTGCACATTGTTTACTTTGCCCGGCCTGGAAGCTGTCTGAGCTGCGCTCCTGCTCCTCTTGCAGCATTTTGGATTTGACCAAAAATGGCTACTTTTGAAAACTAGACTTGCTCCCACTCCTACATTCAGGTCAGAGAAGCTACCTGAGCTGTCTGTCCAGCTGTCGGATTTCTTCTGCTTTTGCTTATTTTCCAAGGAGTACTTGGGAAGCTTGGCTATTTCCCTGTAGCCAGGAAGATCTGAAAACACACGTTATTTTTAAACACCCACTTCGGCGACCTTTCTCTCCAAAAAGCTGCGGCAATGAAACAGAAACGCTCAGTATGCCAGAAGAAAAGCAGCTGTGAACGACGCAGGGGAGGGAAATTGCCGTTTGCGGGTTAAATCATCCACGTAGCTTAATTATTTACCCCGTTTGCGTTGCTCCCCACCCCCCCCAAAGGCGAGGTCCCGGAGCAACCCCATCCACCGGCGCCGGT